TACCTTGTTTAATTAATACATTGGCTGTTGCTAATTGACTAACTCTTGAGCCCTTTTGATTCTAACTTTCATGATGTATTTTTTTGAGAAAGCCAAAGTTGTTAGATAACTCACTCCTCACACGCATGAGCACGCATGCACGCACACACACACTCACTCACACACACACACACTCACTCACACACACACTCACACACACACACACTCACTCACACAAACACTCACACACACACACAGATCCTCATGCGCGCGCACGCACACACACACATCACCCATGTCTATGAGTATGTGAAATAAAATGTGCTTCAGATGGTTTACCTTTACAACAGTGTCATTGTGATCCTTACAGAGTCAGAATCTGTCATGAGAAGGAGCTGAGGAATAAACCATTATTGTTTAAAAATGAAAGAAAAATTAGATCACAATCTACTTACAGATGGGAGAGAAAATTGTTTTAAATCTTGCCCACAACAAATTCCAAACATCAGCATCCAAGCCATTTCCTGTCATTTGTTAATGTTTGATGAGAAGGACACCCAAAAATCACCAGCGATGATGGTGCTGACTCCACATGCAGCCACAGAGTAAAATTCACTGGCTCGTGTATTTGAAATGTAAGGACATGAAGATGAAACCGTTATGTAGGCTGTAGATTCTGTAGGGCTATATCGCAGGGCATAATGTAGGTCACCAACAATCAGACTGAGTAAGTTGCCACATTCATGGAAAGTAACATATAGACCAAGGCTACAACCAGCTTGTATATGGCAGCATCCACTATCAGTGCCATTATCAGGTTGCTCATGCGTTAGTTAGAATCTACCCTATAGCCAGCTCTGGATGGTGAGATGCAACATCCAGCTTGATTCTTGAACAGAAAGGGATTTCAATCCATCAACATTCAGCTCGTATCTGCCACAAGGAAGAATTTCTGAAGCCATGGGCCCATTACCCAGCAGGTTTTAAAGCCAGTTACATCCTCCATAACTCCCATCTTCCTCAAATGTTCACTCCCCTGCAACATCTCCAGGGCTGGCTCATGGGTGGTAAGGGATACCCCCAGAAAACAATGCCGATGCCTCCAGCACACAACCCTCAGACTAAAGCCAAACAGCATTTCAATGCTGTTCATGTAACTACTAAAGCCATCATTGAACAGTCAACTGATCTTCTGAAGCTGCACTTCAGTTGCCTGGACCACTCAGGATGAACACTACAATGCTCACCAGGCAGGCTCTTCACAATAGTGCTTGTTTGCTGCAGAATATAGAAGAGTGGGAGATGGACCAGCCATCTGTCTCCTCAGAGGAGGAAGAAGGGAATCTGATAGAGATGCTGAGGGAACTGACTCTGCTGATGAGGGTGTTAAGGAAGCCAGGGCAGCATAGAGAAGAGACCATCATGCTCAAAAGAACCTGTTGGTAGCTAATTAGAGAGCAAATGACTTTGCATTAACATGTGGACAGGGAACTGTGAGCCAATTATAGCACAGAGATGTTCCCGCCCTCAAAGGAATTCTTAGTTTATAACTTTAAAATATTAAACTACTCTTTTTTGCATAAACTGTAAGTTAGTTGTTCCCTTTGCATCAATAACCTCCTGTTCAGAATCATGAAGGAGATAGGCAGAATTATATCGGGTCTGAACTTATGTGACTCAAACCTTCATTTGTGAGGGACTTTCATCTATCACTGAGAGAGGCTAAACTCTGCCATTAACTCAAAAACCTTAACTACCTAGTTTAAGTACCCACTTTCCAGAGGCTAAGTTGCTCCCAGAGGACAGCAGTGAATGAGAGTCTCAGCACTCTTTGCACTGGTCCACATGATGCACCTATTATTGTATTGGGTGATGTTCTTCCCTCAAACTGTCTACAAACAAAATATGAACGGTCAGAAATGTGAACAGATCGAAAGAGACTACAGGACTGTGATACAAAGTGCTGCATCTGTTTCAAGTGTAATGTTGTACAGAAGGTTGACGCCCATGCACCCAAAGTGACTTCAATGTTCTTTCACCTTCCTTTGTTTTCTGCTACATCATGGTGCCAGCTTGGCTGCAGTTGATCTTGAGGAAGCCTGCTGACTGCTTTGCCATCTTGCCTCAAAGGCTTTGGAATGTGTTTTCACATTAGCTGGGGTCTCAAGTGCTCCAACCTGCTTGGGTATCACGTGCAAGTGTAGATGCAACTTTCTTGGGTCGCTCTGATGGAGATGTTTGGTCCCTAGCAAAGAGGAGGTGGTACAGCTGGTCAGCTCTGTAGTTTTCTGTGTCAACAATCCTTGGAGGCATGGCCTTCACTTCTCCCTGTTGGTGCACAGCGGCACATCTCATGCTTTGAGAGGTTGGGGCAACTGGAGGGAGGTCAAGATCCCTCAGCCTCCTTTTGCTTAGCCAATGAATGAATGCAACCATGGCTTGAATGGTGGAGAGAAGGTCCTTCTGCATATCTGGTCAAAACAAATTGCTCTTCTGAACCTGGCTCTCCAGTGTAGCTGCCAGCTGGTCACAGCAGTTGCCATGTACTTGCCTATAACTAAATTACTTCAGACAGAACTTGGTCAGAGTCCTCTATGCTTTGCACCAGTCTGTGCATCATCTCTCGTACCTCTGATAAACATCTCCCTACTTGGTCCCCCACAATGTCCTTCAGCTCCTTAATGGTTGGGCCCAGAGCCTCATCTTCTGTTCTGGGACTCCAAAGTGGTAGTTCTCCATCCACTGCAGTGAATGTCTCTACACTGGGGAAGAGTGGGGAGGAAGGCCTTAATGGTGTATCTTCAAAGGCTCACAACTGTTCCTCCTCAGAGGTGCTGCACGACGCTAGTAGAGTGGGCTTATGGGCAGAACCCCTTCTTCTTTTGGTCCTGACTTGGGAGTGGGGTCCAGAGGCTACATAAAAGCATAAAAATCCGTTAGTGTCATAAGCCGCCGCTGTTGTGTGATGTGCAGATGGGAGTAGCTGCTTGGAGTCTTTCTCACCAGATGGCTGAAGATATGCAACCTCCCCTTCAGCAGAGTGTTGTAATCTCAGCTGGACGACATTAAGAGTTCAGGCATGGATCCTTGCTTCTACAGCTCAGGCTTAACAGCCCTTCTTTCTCCAGCTGCTCAAGCAATGCTCTTTGAAGGTGTGGATCAAAATCCACATTCAGTGATTCTTGTAACATGTCAGCATGTTCTGGACATAGTGGGAGAGAGCCAGACAGAGCTAGGAGCCAGGAGCTCATCCTCTCCTGTTAGTGGCCAGTGTCAAAAAGTCAAAAACATGACAGTCTCAATAACTGTATTCATTGATGGGGCAAGGCCCGCAAGAATGCATGACCCAAAATGTCCCTGAACCAAAAGTTACTAGGCCATGTCAGAGAGCCGTTAAGAGTCAAGCACTTTCTTGTGAGTCTGGAGTGACATGTAGGTGAGGACGGCAGATTTCTTTCCCAAAAGAAATATTATAGGTTTATTCATTTAAATTCTACCATCTGCAGTATTTGGTGGGATTTGAATCCACAGTCTGAGATCGTTTCAGTGGGTTTTTTGGATGATTTCTCTAGTGACTCCATCCTCATGTATTTCCCCCTAGCTAGGCGTGAAACTCTACTAAACACCCCGAAAAAGCATCCCTAACTCTCAATCACTTAATGGATAAAGAATCCTTGGTGCTGACTGAAATGATTCACTCAACTGGACCTTGAATTAAACACATCAACGAACGTCCAAAATGCATCACACGCATCTCGTCATCAGTAACATTTCTTGGTAAACTTTCTTGGTGAACAAAGAAACTATTTTTTAAAATAATCTCTCCCCTACCCAACTCCCCTACCCGTCCTTTTCCAGGTGTCTCTTTCAGGCAGAGTTCACCTTAATTTGAAAATAAAAGTTTTGGTGAAAAGATGGGCTGACCGTTAAAGATTCTATCTCGCCTGGACAAGATCCAGGCTGAATGCAAGCAGCAATTAGAAATGAAATGGGACTGACACCCACAAAACCTGGTTGTCTGTACAAACACGGGGATTGTCAATTATCTTGTACATATTCCCCGCTTAAGTACATCTCCTGAAATAACCCGATTAAGCAGCTCAGGGCTGGGAGAACAGTGTAGAGTGTGATCGGTAGAAGAGATTGCCCGCGGGATAGCTTACCTGAATTGGTTATTGTTGATGGCTCCGAAAAGTGCCCCAGCCTGCCGGAAATGTTCTGTTCGAATTGCAGAAATGAACAAAGTGCCGCTTGGCAAATGGTGTTTCCCTGCGTAGCCGCCCGCTGCAACCTCTCCGTAACTTACAGACTGAGCCTTCAACCATTTCCCCTCCCTCAGGGCAGCTCTGATAGGAGCTCCACGCATGTGCGCCGGTCAAACAGGGTGGCTGGACTTGTCCTTGTGCTCATACAAAGATTTATCTAAAGGATGCTGTTTGTTTTTCGTTCACGTGGGACTAGCCCTTTGTACGAGTGAGATTCAGTAGCAGCACGATCGAAAGTATGTAACAGCAGAATATAATACCATTGGTGTGTTCATCATCTGAATTGTAGGACTTTCTGTATTTATCTGCAACATGTTTTCTTTGACGTTAGTTGAGGACGTCACTAGAAACTTTTCTAAAGATACTTTGATGTAAAGATACATCAAAACCTTGAAAAATCATTGGCCTGTCGCTAGTTCCAGCTGATCTTCCAAGCCAATCTGACCTTAACATTGGCTTCTCTCTGTCTCCAGTTACTGCTGTGTCAGTGATATATTCCTTTGAACGTTCTAATGCGCTGCATTTTATTTCTGAACCACTCGGAATGTGTGAACTTGCCCACAACGTTGCTAGCTGCTGATGTCTGCACTATACCTACCTACATGCTGGCCAAGTTGTTGTTTAATTTAAAACGGCCTTTGACATTCTTTAAGTCAACATAGGATTCTGTAATCGAAATGTAATTTCTTCAAGACGCGTTCTCTCTTTCTAGAACGTTACAAGGATCGTTTCATTTGGAGTTATCGCGGTGCTAAGTTGTTTCATAAGCAAACCCACCATTCCCCACCTTTCTAACATTAAAAAAGTCAAATTTAATATGGGTGAGTTTAACCAGAGGTTATTTTAGTTTTGGTTTTGTTGCCATATGTTAAATGATAAGGGGCAAATTTCCTTTCTGTGTGGTAACTAAGAAATTTATACCAGCAGATTAAACCAAAAGATGAACAGGAAACGGTCAACAAGTCCAAAAACGCTCCCCCATTGTAAGGAAAAAAATTGCCTTTATACAATAAAGTGCTTTACAGTCAGTGAAGAACTTCTTGAAATGTTGTAGTAGGAAATGTGACTACCACCGTTAGGCAGCAGGAGGGATAACTTTTTGGCCAGGACACCAAGGAGAAACCATTTGGCGCTTTTTTTCTTCTAAATAGTAACATGATGTTATTTTAGGTTTGAACTAAAATAATCGCTGGGAAGCTTACTCGTCATATTTCAACTTCTGCTTTTTAGAAATTTAAGAAATCAAGGTGCATGTGTTGAAAGTAGCGTCTGATATTCTAGCGCCGAACAAACAGCTCACCTCGGAAGGCAAATAGGACTTCGGTTTAACAGCACACCCAAAGGATGATGCCTTTGACAGTGTACCTCTCTCGTTAATGCACTGGGAGTGTCAGCCTAGGTTTTATTTTGCGCTGGAATCTCTGGAATGGAGTTTACATTGTAATTTCAATATCTTAATCCCCAATACTGGCACCCGCCAAACGTTATGTATCCATGGGAAAAGCAAGAAACAAGATACAAGAAAAAAAATTATGCTAATTCTGGCAGAGCAAAGAATTCTGAGAAACTATGTCAGACCCATGATGTTTATTTAAGTTCCAGAAGACTAGTGGCTGTAAGGCACACGCAGCATCTCACGTATCTCTTGTATGCATGAAGGGATACATTCATCTGCATTTTAATATTTGCAACATTTTTTTTAAAATGACATTTAAATTCCACAGCAAATGCATGACCTTGTTCAGCTCCTTTCCCAGGGCTTCTGCAATTTTCAACAGCTGAGGAGAATAAAACTGGGCAAATGGATGTTTTTATAAATGACATATTTTTGTTACAAAATGCATGAAGGAAACTTTCCTCAATTCTAAAGTTCTAGCTGGCATGAAGTGCCAGTAAAGTGACAATGTCATTGGATAGTAATCCCAGGTCAATGTTCTGCAGAGAAAGGTTTGTATTCCACAATGATGGATGGTGAAATTTGAATTCAATTAGTTAAATTGGAATTGAAAGCTAGCCTGGTGGTGACTATGTGACCTCTGTTGATTGTTTAAAACCGATCTGGTTTACTGATGTCCTTTAAGGAAGGAAGTTGCCATTTGGTCTGACTTACATGTGACTTCAGATTCATAGCAATGAATAAGCCACTCAGTTCAATGGCGATTAGAAACAAAAATCGAAATTGTTGGAAAAACTCAGCAAGTCTAGCAGCATCTGTGGAGAGAAATCAGAGTTAATGTTTCTGGTGCAGTGACCCTTTCTCAAAATGTTTAGAGTCACTTAGAGTTGGGCAACAAACAATGCTCTTGCCAGTGAAACACGCATCCCATCAAAGAATGAAGGACAATAAATGATGGTTAGGTCCTTGAGTTGGTTTCTCACCATCTGCGTAGGCTCAATTGACCAAGTTCCTGATGCCACGATCCATTGAATGTCTAGGGATGAGCCTGGGCTGCACTGGAATTTCAATTAGTTTGTACATGAAAATGTTTGAAAGAATGCCAGCTTGTAGCTCTACAGTCTTTACATTTCCAATAACAAAAAGATGCTGACTATTTTATCAGAGATCGTAAGAACTGCCGATGCTAGAGTCAGAGATAACAACAGTGTGGAGCTGGATGAGCACAGCAGGCCAGGCAACATCAGAGAGCGGGAAAGTTGACATTTCAAGTTGGGATGTTTCTTTGAAGAAGGGTCCTGACCCAAAACATCAACTTTCCTGCCCCTCTGATGCTGCCTAGCCTGACTATTTTATCAGCTGCTTTGTAACTTACTCAATTTTACTGTCAGTCAGTGTCTGATGAGTAGAGCTTCGCACATTACAGTAATACATATGCACACATGCAGCTCCATATGTCCTTGTTTGAGTGACATGAATAACAGTGCAACCACTTTGAACCAATATTATGGCTTCCAGCAATGCATCTGAAATTGCAATGTTGCACAGTACAATGTAATCAGGTTTCTTTCAGTCTAGAATTCTTGTAACAAGCTTTGCTAAAACAGAAGGAAAATTTGCTTACTTATGAATATCCTTAATAAAACATACATGGTCTTGTTATAATTTTCAGTTTAGCAGAAAAATGTAAGATGTAAATAGATGATATGTCTTTTTAATAAGATTATTTAAGCAGTAGGACAAAAGAATTAATTTTATATAGCTATTAGAGTTCAGGCGTCCTTTAGTTTAAACCTCAGTAATCAACAATTTAAAAGACTGTAACAATGTTTAAAGAAATGGTGGTATTTGCTTTGACACAATATTCAAAATGTTTTGAGAAAATTAATGACTTCTGTTTGAAATTCATACACAGTGCTTCATGGAATAATTTAGTAAAAAGGTTGAAAGGTGAACCATTGGCCACTACAGATATAAGTTATGCACAGTCATGTATGTATTACAAGAATGACCAAGGGAATTCAAATGCAAATTCTTAAAAGAAGATGCAGTTATCTCACTTTGCAACCACATTCATAAATAGGGGAATGTTTATATGTGAAAATCACTGTTATTACTGTTTTTCAAAAAAAATCAATCCAGCATTAAGATTAATACATCTTGGTTGGAGATATGCTAAGAGACATCCATCTTGGTTAGAGATGGTCTAAGAGACATCCATCCTACAAAGGAATGTTGCCACTTTACAGTTGAGATATTGCTACAACAAAAGAAAAGTACCCCCATGGATGGTGAAAATCTGAAATAAAGATAAAATATGCTGAAAAAACTTGGCAGCATCTGCAGCGAGACACAGTTAATGTTTCTAGTCAATGGTTAATTGGCTATAATATTAACTGTGCTTTCGTGCCCACAGATGCTATTGGGCCTCTTGAGAATTTCCAGCTTTTTCTGCTTTTATTTTAGATTACAAGTTGTTACTTTCCTACTATGAGTTGTCACTGAGGAACAAAGCCACAATGATCCTAATCTTTAGCTAGGTTTGTGTTCTGAATCCTGTCCAGTTGAATTTGGATGAAACTGCTGACTACTCTTTAGTAATAAGGAAATGAAATTTAACTCCTCAGCAAGGAGCTGAATTTCAGCAAATGTCTGGTAGACTAGTTTTACGGCTTTGAAAGGCTTTCCACAAAGCATGCGCATTGTATTTGCTCCATAAGGTTTTGCAACAATAAGCGCAATCGCGTTAGATGTTCTTAAGGGGATGATAAACTCAGGAAGAAGATTCTCCATGCTCTAGCCATAGCCGTTATCAACTTCGCAGAGTGGTGGTCTAGTGCCCCCCACCCCGTTCACTAATAAACTGCCATCCGTACCTGGTCTGGCCTATATGTGAACCCAGACCGACAGCAATATGATCAAATCTTGACTGCCCTCTGAAATATAGAGCAAGGCAGTAAGATGTATTGACTACTAGAAAGGAGAAAGAGAGTAATGAAATTGGATGAACTACCTGGCATTGACTGAGACACTGGGAACAACAATGGCAAAAATAGCTCTATCAACCCTGCAAAGTCCTCCTTACTGAAGGCTAATGCCAAAATTGGGAGACCTGTCCCAAAGATCAGTTAAGAAACAGTTTTGACATAGTCATTCTCACAGAATCGCACACAATACTTCCCAGAGACCAGACTACACTATCACCACCCTGGGTATGTTCTGTCCTATTAGAGAGACAGGTCCACCAGATGGCACAGTGGTATACAACCAGGAGGGAGTTGCACCAGGAGTGCTCAACATTGACTCCAGATCTGATGAAAACCCATGGCATCAGAAGAAACATGAGCAAGACAACCAGCTACTGATTACCACCTACCGCTTCTCACCCATATCTGTACCATTCACCCACACACTATCTCTCCCCATCTGAGGAATCAATGCACGTTGAACAGCACTTGGAGGAAGTAGTGAGGATGGCAAGGGCGCAGAATGCTCTCCGAGTAAGAATGCTCTCATTGTCCACCAACAAGGATGGTTCAGCAACATCACTACTGACTGCCTGATTGAGAACTAAAGGGCAAAGCTACGAGACTACTTCTGTGACAGGTGGTGAGGGAATCAACAAAAGGAAACAGTATACTCCACCATCATCATTGTCACCAATCTGCCTGCCACAGATGCATCTGTGCATGACAGTATT